CTGCTCAGAGGAAAGTGTATTTGTTCTTTCTTTTTAAAACTCATTATTTATTTTCTCTATTCTTCAGACCTAATGTTTCACTAATGAATTCCAGGAGGATTTTTGAATCATGGTGATATCATGGGTTAAACCCCTTCTCTACTTTTTGAATGTAAATTCTTTCTGACATTCTTAGTTAGTGCAGAGCATTGACTTCTTTCTGACAACAAAACCAAACGCTCTTTGGTTTTGCATAGTTAACATTTTGCTAATGGGTAGCCAAGATTCTCTCAGCAGCTCAACAACATTTTCTAAAGCACGCTGGCGTTGTTGTAGCAACTGGTGGCTGATATGTGAATAAAGCCGATGTCATTGTGGCAGGATAAAGGGAGAATAATCTATCACCCGGTCACTGCCACTCCTGCCCAAACAAGTCATCAAAATGACAACTTTGGTGCGCAGCCATTAATTCAGGTCTGCCTATCTCCTTATCTCATCTGGTTATTATATCAGCCAAGGGTGAGCTATGAGCATCCAGAGTTTCCCAGCCCCTCTCCTGTGTCTCTGGAGGAAGTGCAGCCGGGATGTGCCCAGGCACTGACCGTGTGCCAGCTTCCTTTTGGACTCTGATTGATTCTGCACTCTTGTCCAAGCTGCTCTGGCCTAAATAAACTCAGTATATATTCTGGGATGCCTTTTTCCTTTACTGTTTAATCTGAATTCAGCTCATGTGGCTCACAACTAAAGATGGGCAAGTGTCAAAATATTCTGACAGGTGCCCAAGCTGAGCAAAAGGAGAGACAGAAGCAGATAAATTGCCTTTCTAACTTCTCAGAAAGGCTTTAATCCATTTATTATTGTTTTAGCTTCTATTCTAACTCTCACAATTTGAACTTAGTTGGTACAGCTCCGTGACCCCAGTGAGTCACCTCACATCCCCCTCTTTTGGTGGCAGCAAATACCGCGGGGTTTAACACTGTCCTGTTAAATGCTTTCCTTTAGAATATTCCCTTTTTTTCTATGCTCCCATGGCTGAGGCATCACAGCAATTTGCTCCTGCTTTGTGGAGGCTTGGAGCTGAGTTTCAGCTTGGCAGAGGCTGTTTGTTCCCTCTGCTGTCCGCATCTCCTCTCTCWGGAAGCCCACTCTGCTTCTCCTCTGCCTCACAGCTTTGCTGATCACTCGACTTGAGGAGACAAAACACGAGACCARGTTTCTGCTATTTCCCTGGTGCATGACTCATACTTAATGTGGAGGTTATATTAATTACTGTGTGCTCAGCATTTAATGACCCTTGCAAGGAGACTCCTCAGCTACGCAGAACACGTAGGGAAATCRCTGCATGCAGTGAATACATTTCCCAAACCCCCGAATCTGGATATCTATTTTRTACAAGGAGGCAAATCTGTCATTGTTCAAGTTCTTGACACAGGATGGCAGAAGATGAGAAATCTGGGCCATAGTCCTAATTCTCTCACAGGCTGCCTTTGTGCCCACTGGCCAGCCCTCCTGGGCACTGTGTCTCCTCATTTCCTGCCTGTTTGTTGGGATAAAAGTGAATGGCTCAGACCAGGCTCAGTGCAGAACATTTGTATAACTTGACATCACATAGTTAGAGAAGGCCGAGAGGAATTATACTGTTTTTGTTTTTTTTTTAAAATATGGAAAATACCTTTTTTTTTTTTTTTTTTTTTTTTTTTTAAATAAATGACATATTTTCCAGTCCTGTGTGGTGGCATTATCATTTAACACTAGTGCCTGTGCTGGATCTTCTTTGTCTTTCTCCACTGACTTCCTTCTCAAGGGGTTGGGTATTTAACATCCTCTGYAGGATTTAGAGTTTAAAAAATACACTGTATGTGTAATTTCACACTSTATGTGATGTTCATAGTGTGTATTTCCATGGGCCCATGGGAAAAGAGAAGTTGCTAGGTAAGAAATTAAGTGTGAGAAACAACTCATTAAACAGGTTTCTTGCTGATTCAAGGGACTAGACRCTTGGATTTGGCTTGTTCCAAATGAAATTGCACTATGGGCTGTGTAGCAATGGGGCAGGYTTAACTTGGCTAAAATCTGTCCATTTGGCCAAGCCTTCTCTGTTCCCTGGTSGACTCAGTGGTGTGCCTTCTGTGTACTGAGTTGTTCATGGGTTTTCCTTCTTAAGCTTTTTCCTCTGTATTTCAAAGCATTCCCTGTTACAGCCTTTCATTTCTTTATCTTTCAAATTTCTGTATCAGTCTCCTACTTAGAATCATGGAACATCCTAAAGTGGAAGGGACCCACAAGGATCATCCAGTCCAACCCCTGCCCCTTCATAGACCCCCAACAACCCCACCCTGGGCATCCCTGGCAGCGCTGTCCAAACGCTCCTGGAGCTCTGGGACCATTCCCTGGGGAGCCTGGGCAGTGCCAGCACCCTCTGGGGGAAGAACCTTTTCCTGATATTCCCCCTAACCATCCCTTCACACAGCTCCAGCTGTTTCCACAGGTCCTGGCAGTGGTGAAAGAGAGCAGGGATTGGAGCTGCCCCTCGGGAGGAGCTGCAACCTCCAGTGAGGACTGAGCTCAGTCTCCTGTTCTCCAGCTGAACAGACCAAGTGCCCTCAGCTGCTCCTCATACGGCCCCTCCAGACCCTACAGCATCTCCCTTGCCCTCCTTTGGGACAATCTATCTGATATTGCAGTGGCCAAAACTCCAGGACAATATTCCAGGTGAGGCCGCCCCAATGCAGAGCAGGGCGGGACAATCCCCTCCCCGACCGGCCACGCTGGGCCTGATGCGCCTCAGGACATGGATGTCCCCCCTGGCTGCCAGGGCAGTGCTGGCTCATCTCCAACTTTCCATCCACCAGGATTCCCAGCTCCCTCTGCACGCTGCTGCTCTGCAGCCTCTCTTTCCCCAGCCTGTCTGTATGTGCAGGGTTGCCCCATCCACAGTGTGGAATTGGGCACTTTCCCTTCTTAAACTTCATGTGGTTGGTGACTGTGCAGTCCTCCAATTTGTCCAGGCCTCATCTAATGAACCACTTTTCCCTGCCCACACTAAAATGGAGTTGGTGGAGCTGGGTAGAAATTACTTTTCTTTCAGATACTGTTACCATCACTTGGAGAATCTCTGTACTCCACAGCTGAGAATAAGTCAAAGTGTGTGAAAGTAAAATATAACCCTTGGGACAATACCAGAAACCTGACTAATGGATTTTGATTTAATCTATTTTGCTCTACCCATGGAATGGGTATCAAATGGGTATCAATGGAATCAAAAAATAAGTTGTTGAGGTTTTGTTAATGAGAATGTTAAGAGGGTTATGGTATTTATGGCCTCTTATTGTGTAACTAATAAAAGGATTTTAGGATAAAAGCATAAATGGCATGAAGGATCCAAGAGGTAATCTGCCAAAGAAATTTTAAAATATTAATAGTTAGAGCAATTTTTCCTGATACCATGTGAGTGAAGAAAACCCAACAGCACTAAGAGAATGAGAAAACTTAGCAACAGGAGAAGTGTTGTGAACAATAAGTAAATGTGATTAAGTGATAATCATAGAATTCCTGATTGGTTTGTGGTGAAAGGAACCCTAAAGCCCATCTATTCCAAGATGCTCAGAGCTCTGTCCAATYTGGCTTTGGACACTCCCAGGGATGGGGCATCCACAGCTTCTCAGGGCACCCTCTGCCAGGGTCTTGCCTCCCTCACAGCCAAGAATTTCTTCCATGAGTGGAAAATTTCCAAAATTTAGTAATATTAAGCACTGTCTATGGTACCTATAGTCCTGTCTATGGAATCTACAGTTCATGGGAAGTCACATCTTGATGAAGAACAAAACTCAGCACTGCCTCTTTACAGGTTTTTGCTACAATTTCTCTTACAAGTTTATCTGACTAGAGAATGCCTCTTCCAGCCCAGTCTCTTCCACTTTGTTTTAAAAAAMCACCACCAGTGCGGCTTTCTCAATAATATTGGAAAGGTGAGTTAGGATCACGTGATGTATTAGGTGTTGGAGTAATTCCATATTTCGTGTGTTGGTTTGAAAAATTAGAGGTACAGTGAGAGGATGACTGTTTATTCATTTTTARTGTCCTTCTCTATTGTATCATAGCCCCTCTTAGAGATCAAAAATCAAAACTCACAAGCCCTCAGTGACTGGGAATGGATCAGAGAGCTTATAAATGCTCTCAARAGAACTGAAATCCAGGAGCTTGCAGAAAATAAAGCAGGAAGCATATGGGAACAGCAGGCTGGTGACAAGGGGAGGCATCTTCCCTAATACCAGTGYTGTTAGGTGATGCACTTGGAAGCAAGATTTCTCTGGGATGTGTTTCAGAGCTCCCAATTTCACATTACACAGGTGCTGTTGATGGGTCTGAGTATGCAACAACAATAAACTAGAAAAGCAGTAATTTCATAAAAGCATGAAAAATGCCTTTGGGGTTTTACAGCATCATCTCTGGAYGGGGGAATTGCAAAGTTCTGTTATCCCACTCCACACCTGGAGCCCTTCAGATCCACGTACATCTCCTCAACATTTTGACTGCATCAAAAGTYATTTATTTCCAGAGGAAGAATTTCCTTCATTTTTGTTCAGGAATAATCATTCATCTTTAAGAAATTATTGGTATGGTTTTGAGCAGAAAAGAACATGAATAGGGTCAGGTCACTCATCACAGTGACCCCTCAGATTATAATGAATTAAGGGAGAWTGCTTTAGAATCGAGATGAGCTTCATCATCTGAAGTTCTGCTGACTGATAAAATGTCTGTAGTTGGTTTAATTTTGGGCAGTATTGGAACATTCAAACCTGACTCGAACTGCACCATGGCTGGTTGGCACAGACAGCACGTGCCAGGTCTGGGCAGCCCTGGCTGGACCTGTYAGGGGCTGAGTCTGCAGTTCAGACCAGGGGACCTTCTTGCTCCATCGACTTCTTTGGGTTCCAAGCTGGGGACAGGGGACTGTGTTGGGTAATATGCACATTTAGAACATTCACAGAGCATATTTCCTATKATAATCCCATGATATTCCTATGACATGCCTATGATAATGACAAATGTGAAAATATTGTCAGAAATACTTACACAGATATTAATTTGAATTTGTGCACCCTRACTGCAGCCTGCAACATTTTTCTGTTTAACAAATGGATTTTGAATTGTGGTCAGTTAAAAACAGATTTGTGATCCACAGGAGAGTTCATTAAGAGCCTTGGACAGTATGGTATGTAGCCATTATTCTCCTTTTCTAAATTACTTTGTCCCCTCACAATAACTTTACCAAATGAGCCACTTGAGAGTATATTTTGAGGATGTTTTCAGTTTAATTATCACTGTTGAAAGACATATCTCCATTAGTTTTGTGCATACAAGGCAAAGAAAACTTAATCACTGGCTGATACGCGTTTTATGTAAGTGCTTCTAATATCAAGCTGATTGAACTSAGGTTAGTTGTCCCTTTAGAAAGGCCAAGAGGTAAAACTTTAACACTTATTTAGGAATCATGAGGCAAAACAAATTCATTTCCACAAGCTGTGATTCCACTGTGGGATGAAGAAGGGAGATTTCATAATGAGCAGCTTCCCAGTTTGCAGCCAGGCTTTCTCCTTCCTGCTCCCATCTCCTCTGTGCCCCTGGGCTGTGTTTCCCTTCCAGCCCCATCCAGGTTCCCCCGTGCCCAGCAGCGCGGCGCTCCCCTCGCAGCACACATGAAAAGATGGATTTTCTTTGGAGGGCGGCATTGTTCCACACTTGTGTGCATTTCAGTGCCATTGTGTGGTTCTTCCCCAAGTCAAAACAGAGCTCCTCTATCCCCAARCACAAAGACCAAGCTGTTGTCGGGGGGAGGAATATCTGCAAACCGTAAATCTCCCCTCTCCTGTGTATTCTCATGCCGCTCAAGCCCGTTTAGGGAATGACCAATTAACTCCAGACTCATGGCACATTCTGATGGGCCAGATTTCTCCTGTCTAAGATGACACAGCCAAATTTCCAAATACTTTCTAGCCAAATTTCCAATACTTTCTGCTTTTCCTTGCTCTTTAATTCAGAGCTCCCAAACTGTTACTCCAGATGTTAAACAAATTAATATAATTTTTGTCTTTTTTTTTCTCTTTTTCTCATCAGCAATATTGTAAAATGTAGGGAGAATGTGTACCAAATTAAAGTCACTGTGCATCCAGTTTTATATTATTGTGAGTAAAACTGTTTAAAGATATTTGTCCTTCAATAATTATTCTACAAGCTGTACATGGCACATCACTGCATACGGAAATTTACAGGAAGCAGGAGTTTTACACATAATTTTTTTATGGTAAAAACATGCTGCAAAAGTAATAATTTGCAAAGTAACTCTAATCATTGAGGAACACATAGTTTTAACTATGATATGGTATACACTAAATCAAAACCCAATACAAACTGGGGAGGGGGGAGATTACAGTATTAAACATTAGAACGGAATTATTTAACCATTACAGGGTTGTAATAAACATCCCTACTGTATGTGGTTGCTTTTTATMTCTTSTTGTRTGGAATTTAAAAGGACTAAGAGCAGTGACTCAATGACCRATAAAAATTWGCTTTGATATTGACAARTCATAAGTTTGAAAGTAAATTATGTTAATAATTGTTTTGATACTCCATTCTGCTTGTCTGAATTRACTAAAAAWTCTATTTTGAGTTAAGTGGCAGGACTGCAAAGGAACTGTGTATTAACCCTGGTGATACATTGCTAGGATGAGGTACTGCATGGGGTTGTGTTCTTAAATAATACATACACAAGGAGTGAGATAAAACCCAAGTCCTAAAAGGTCAGTTGTCAAATTTTACAGCATCTTTTTTGATGCCTGTTTCCCTTCTCAAAAAAATTCTGTTTGAGCAGTCTTAGGTGGGAGTTTTGCCTGGGAAGGATCAGTGCACACAAGGCAGGCCTGTCTCCTCTCCTTGTAGCACYTGCTGCTACCCAGGGAGTCAGTGACACATTTCCTTTACTGATGCCTCCTGAGCTGGGGAGATCCTGCAGTCTTCGAGGAGGAAAGAATCTGATCTGTCCCAGATAATGTGCAACATCATCAATTACACTGGGCCATGTTTCTTACCCAGTGAAAAACAATGTTAAAATTAGATTCTTCTTTTTATTAGTCACAAACGAGTTAAGCAGGAGGAATAGAATGATTCAAAATATTTACCACTTGAGTGCCTGAAAAAATTAGTGGTGATTACAAAGAAATACCACGAAGGGAATGTAAAATGGCTGAGTTGGGCTCTGAAAAACATGTGAGCATTCTTTAAATTTGCTTCTTCAAACCTGTCGGAATGTTTYTCTGGATTTTTGAGCTCTGGCCTTTTGGGGGGAAAGAATAATGTAAATGCCAAAAAGAGTTGGACAAAAAGTAAGCTCTGTATCCTATCTATGAGAATCAGACGATGTGTGTCATGCTAGTTATTACAGTCCCAGTCTACAGTCGCCCACTGATGGAAATCAGATCTGACAGTAGCACAATGCAGAGGTTTAACTGACAGCACACACAGCACATTTGCGAGTCATAACGCCACAGTTTAATGACTGACGCATGTGGGAAGCTAATTCGGATTTTTTTTTCTTGAATGGGATAAATGAGCATCCAGTTAATACCAATCATGAATTCAAGCCATGTGACAAAATTGATGCTACATACCCTGTTCTTGTTTTGCATATTCTGCAAATTGAGCCACAGGAAAAGAGCCAGTTTGTACACACATCCGGAGAGAAAGTTCATTCTGCTTTYAGACACATCCACCAATTGCAGCTGAATGCATCCAGCTTGCTGCTGTTGTGTTCACAAACTAATTACCCCTTCTCTGTTAAATAGCCTAAGAATTACAAATTGTATGCCTGTTTTGAGAAAAAGTACAGGTTGAACAAGCAGACATAGTATAAATAAAATATTTATATAAAAATAGTCTCTTACAAAATATACTCTCTTATCCTATGGTTGATTTTTCCAAAAGATGGAATTTTGTCTGGATTTTCTTATTTTTAGACATATTCCAAACAGGATTTCACTAATGCTTCTTTCTTTAATTGAAGGAAAAAAAAAGAAAAAAAAAACAACACAAAAACTGGTAAAGGTTTGTAACCCCTACCACTCGACTTTTGTTCTAGACAACTAGCAGCAAACAGGAGGAAACAAACAAACAAAAACCCCAAAATACAGTGTGTTTGTATATGTACATATATATAAAGATGCCAGCTTTTGTCCTTAAACATCCAGTACTGTAGAACATATCCTGCAAGTCCAACTAATAGAAATATCCTAGTCAAGAATAATATATACAGCTCCAGTTTTTCCTTGCTGATCCTCCAAAATTATTCCACAAAGAAAGCCAGCTATCTACTTTAATTGCAGAATAGTTCAAAACAGGTGGGTCAAGTTCTTTTTTTAATTAAATAAATTAATATTAGTTTTATCTGAATAAATTGTTAAATATTGCTATTATTACRCCCAAGTGTCCCAAATCCCTGTGCTAAAATCTGCAGCACACACACACACAAGAAAGGCAGATAAAGCAGTGTCTACAGAAACCTTCCACAGTTCTTCTTGATGCAGCAATTGCTGTGAAGTGGAAAGATGGGCGAGACCAGCAGAAGCTTTTCACAAGTGTAAAAGCCTAAACCTGTGTCATCCACATGTTCACAGGGGCAGTGAGRGAGGCTCTGTCCATCCCATCCCGTGCAAAGCCTTTTGTCAGGGATTTCTGCCCTAGCCCTCCCTGCTCCTTGTGCACACGAGTGCTTGATTGACCATCCTTTTCCCAAACCAAGAGTTCGTTGCCATGCTCAGAGATTCCCCCTGGCCCGTGTCTCTCCACAAGCAGTCAGTGCTCCTTGCTTCCGAGGTGCAGGCTCAACAAGATGATCCTTTTCTCTCTCTTTTGCATGTCTGGTGGCCCAGGGTGGGGTTTGTTTGTTTTTGCTCCTTGGCCGACTTTAGAAGGGTCTGAAATGTGTATCCACACAAGCAACGAAAAACGTGAGAAGCAGAGAGAGGGCTCCATTCACCAGCTTTTCTCCGGGGAGAGCAGGACTGGCCCACAGCCTCCTGCTCAGGTCCRTCGAGTGCATGTGCAAATGTACCCCAGGGCGGGCAGGAGCAGGGGCAGCGCTCACTTGCAGGTGTACACCTCTGTCCTCTCGCTGCACGTGTTGCACTTCACGTAGCAGCACCAGTGGAACTTGCAGTTGCACTGCCACACCCTCGAGTACTGGTGCGTGTTGTAGCCGCGGCCGCAGCACATCAGGTCACAGCCATTGGACTGCTGCGCTGTCTTGTTGCACATCCTGCCCTGTGTGCCCACGCTGCCCGTCACCGGGTCCTCCTCGCAGTAGTTGGGGGATTTCTCTATGTACACCAGGTCCGTATCCATGGGTTTGCGGTAGGAAAGGGGCTTCTTGATTTTGAGGAAGGTGGGGCGCTTGTTGCGGCTGGCCCGGACGGGCTCCACCTGCACGGCCTCGTTGTACTTGTCCTTGAGGATGTAGCCCAGCTCACGGAACTTGGGCAGCGTTGTCCAGCAGGTTTTAGTGGTGCAGGAGCCCGAGACCCCGTGGCACTTGCACTCCAGCTTCATGTTCTCCTCCAGGATCTGTGGGTAAAGGAACAAAGAAGGTGCATTAACACAAGCGAGGCTCCCTCAGAACAGCAAGGCAGTGTGATGGGCAGGGGTGACACTCAGGGATGGGTTTGTTCTCCAGCAGCAGCTGCCACCAGGCACGGGCCACGCTGCTGTCCCCGGCAGCAAACACTCATCAGCATCAACCAGCTCTGCCTGTGCAGCTGATTCCCCTTCTACACTGTCAGCTAAACAGGGAAGATAATTCTGCCCAACTTCACAGCCAAAGGTAGAATGGGACCCTCCTCAGTCACAGATTTCCTTCAACACAATTGCCCAGCACTTCTTGTTTGTGTGGTATTGCAGTGTTTGGCACAGGACAGTGACATTAGGGACTGGCAGAAAACCACACCTGTAGCTGGAATGCTCCATGCAGAATGTGTGCAGAGTTCAACAATGGGCCACAACTTGGCATTTGTGAACAGAGGTTCAAAGATAAACTGCATCTCAGGCCTGGCACCTGAAAATTACCTAAGCTGSAGCAAGAAGATAAACTTTATCAATGGTTATCCCCCTGTAACCCCACATTAATCAGCAGCATAGAACAGATGATTATTYAGTCATACAGGCATCATCTCTTCTAAATGTTACAACTTAATGCTCAGTTTGGAAACCTAAGCATTATTTTTCGTATACCCCAGTCAAGTACACTTCTGGAAGGTTTGAAGTGATTTGCCTCCTGTCACATGGAGCACACAAACACCACAGGTACTTTGCAAAAAAAAAACCAAAAAAAAAAAACCAAAAAAAAAAAAACCAAAACCAAAAAAAACCCCCAAAACTGGTCTGTCTTAGAGCTTAAAGGATGAAAGTAAAGATGAGGAATCGGTTTCATGTTTTGTCATCAATTCGTGTTAAAAAATTTCTACCTCTTTACTACTAAAAAGCATCTCAAACTCCTCAACACCATGGTTTGCTCCAACCTGTCTCATGTTCTCTTCTTTGGAGAGGTTTCTCATGCCTGAGCTGTTACTACTTTCCTTTTGAAGAGAACAAGCTTCAACTTCCCTTCCACCTTCACATCCCTTTAAATTCTATCCCTGCATCTTCTGCTGCTGTTTACCAGCCCAGTCTTTGCCAAATGAGGCTGGAGGCCAGCTCAGTCCCTGCTCCATGCACCAAGCCCTGCAGCTGACCCCACGCAGCAGTGACATTGGGATAACACAAACCCACACATCTAATTCCAGCAATTAACATCCCACTGGCCTTTACTTGAAAGAGACCATAATAATTTTGATGATGAAATTCTGCCTACCCTGGCAGAGACCAGCAGTGGAAAGCCCAGCCAGAGGGATTATCAGGGTTCAGGGAGTGGCCACATCATTTTTCCCCTGAGAAAACCCAGCTGATCCATGCAGCTCCACACCTGGGCAGCCAGGAAGGCTGGAGGGAGGTTAGTGATATGGAAATTGGAATTAACCCTTTGTCACAGCCTCTCCTTTCAGTTTTGGGTGTTTGTAACCAGCAGACACTGTCACTGCCCATTTTCAGCAGAAAACAGCAGCCTGCACTGAGGGAGTCAAGCCCAAGACCAAGGCTAGAYGTGTGTGGGGACCTTGAACCCAAAACCTCAGTGTGAACTGGGGGTGGAAAGGAGAGAGAACACCCCAGGCCATGAGCAGGACACTGCCACACTCAGCTCCAGCCCTGCTTGGTGGCCTTAAACCCAGAAATTCAAAGACCCCACATAGCAGCTGATTATTCTCACCCCTCTTGGTCTCGAGGCTGCTCCCCAGTCACCTTGGCATGGTAACTGCTATTGTCTGACCTTAGGRTAGTTTGGAGCTGCCTCTCTTCACTCCCTGCCCTTCCTCTGCCCATTCTCCATGAAYGGGCAGGGATTCAAGGCATTAAAATGACAGGCTGGGAGAGCTGGGGCTCTTCACTCTGGAGAAGAGAAGGCTCCAGGGAGAKCYYAGAGCWSYYTTTCAATACMCACAGGGGGCYCACAAGAAGGCTGGGAGGGGAGAGGATATTTACAGGGGCAGGTAGTGATAGGACAAGGAGGAATGACTTTACACTGAAAGAGTGCACGTTTGGGTTGGATACTGGGAAGAAATCCKTCCCTGGGAGGATGGCCAGGTCCYGGCACAGGGTGCCCAGAGCAGCTGTGGCTGCCCCTGGGTCTCTGTCAGKGTCCAAGGCCAGGCTGGGTYAGGCTCTGATYTAGAGGAAGATGTCCCTGCCCATGGAATGAGGGTTGGAACCAGATGAACCCAAAGAACTCTTCCTATGCAAATCATTCTYTGGTTGTGTCATTGTCTGATCCTATGAAACAGCTTTATTTCAGTCAATGAGCAAATTGTCAGCACATGTGGTGTGAGGACAGGATCCCAGAGGAGGCTTGGACACAAGTGAGCTCTTCATGTGCTGGTCACGGTTTGTGCTACTGCCTTTAAATCAGTGTCTCATGCAAACAATCCAGTGACTGCCCTAAAACTCACATGTGAGAAACTTCCATAGTCAGATCTGCACCTTAACTTCTGCTCAAGCCTTGGCTTTATCTTGTTATTGTGAGTTTTTCTCTCAGTCACTGCATACTTCTTTTATTGCTCACTCATTCATAAGACAGGACACTTCCAAGATAGATGAGGAGATGGAAAAGGACTTTGAGCACAGAAACCGGAAAAATAAAATAAATTCCTTTAGCCTCATTTGTACCTTTTTAAAAGCTCTTTGTTTTAAAAATTGAAACTAGCCAGGGATACATTTCTCTRCCCTAATTCAATCACTGCTCTTGTAGAAGTGGCTGCCCTTACATCCTGGTACCATGTTCAAACTTGCAGCAAAGCGTTTCCAACCTGACATGAGGATCCGCCAAATTGGCCTGAAAATTAACACAAAACACACCATGTGTCATCTACCCGGGCAGGGCTTTTTCCTTAWGTGTAGTTAAGCAGCCTAAATTGCCTTTTGGTTTATTTCATTACCATCTGATTTGCAGCCACAAATGATGAGCAGCTCCTCCGGCCGGAGTGGAGCAGCGTCTGAGGCTCCTGCCCTGGTTACCCMGTGCCCAGCACAGCCCAACTCACACCCTGGCCTGCTCTCAGGATAGAMAGCTCTAGCTTTGCCTGAACAGGAGAAGTTTGAGCAATACCAGTTGAGCCCCAGGGCCAGGGGTCCTTCCTAGAGGTCCAAAAACAMCTGGAGAGGGAYGGAAAGGAGCAGAGGGAGGAGAAAGTTCCATCATTGTTCTCTTTTACATTAATTGGTTTTGCATTYTCCTAGGGTTTGCTGGCCACCTCTCCTTTTCTCTCTGCACTTGTCAGGGGTGCCAGAGGTTCCAATACTCTGTGCTGGAATCTCTCTGACACATCTGCCTCRTTCAGGTCCCCTGCACTCTGCAGCTGCAGATCTTTCCCCTCCAGATCTGCCTCCTCTGACCCACTCTCTCAACCCCTTCTGYTGGTCCTGCTCCTGCACACAAATCCATCCTCCTCCCTGGGCTTTCAGGGTTCTGCAAGTTCAGCAAGAGATGAATTGACTCCACCACAGTCTTTAGAAAACAGGCTACGTGGAACTTGAACCGTCTGTCCTCAGCAAAAGCAAAAGCCTACAATGGTGGTTTGATAGTTTCACTGCACTCTGATAGCAGGTGCTYGGAGTACTTGTTTGACATTAAAATATGTGGATGGTGGTATTTTAATACTATAATATTATTGCAGTATCCTCTRATTAATCAGTGCCTGCACAAATTCRAGATGAAAGTTGCAAAGAGAAGGAAGAAAATAAAATAGGGGATTCTGTGCGAGTCTTTTCCTTGGTTGCCAATGAGCCAAAAGCAGCATTCTCCCCTTAAAAACTTGCTCTGTGTCAAAAACAGAAAGAGTTCTTCCCCTTTTATATYAGGATTTGTTTCTTTGAAGGAATTATCCAGCAGCTCATTCTTTTTACATTAGATTAAAAGTTTTAGTATGTTTCAGATTGACTTTTCCTAAAATGTAAGAGCCTGAAGGGCACAGAATCTAAATGCCAGATCCCCTGTTTCTTACCAAATGACCATATCCAGCTCCATCAGCCATGGGAAGTAAATCTGTATGCACCAGTGAGTGCTCTGAACTGGATTAAATGCAGACAAAGAGCCACAGTTCTTTTAGCTTTGTCCACTTTTTCTTTGAGCTCCTACTGCAAACTGTCAGTACTTGTTTCTGCCTCTCTCTCCCTCTGCCATTTGCCTCTGGGAAATAGTTTGTGTGGAGAGAGCTGGCGCTGGCTCTCCCTGCTGATGTTATCTGCAGATGCAGCACCTTTGGGTAGCGCCACCAGGAGCAGAACAGGTTTGCTCTGCCCCTCTGCTYTTGTGGGGAATGTGTGGGGTTGGCCATGTGAGAGCTGCGTGTTCCTGGAGCCTGCCTGGGGCTGGCTCAGGGCTCCTGCCTTCAGGGACACCAGCAGAAAGGGCTGGTGGCACAGGAGAGGCTTTGGGTCACCAGGGTGGGAGCTGTGTCCTGCAGGAGGTAGGATGAGTGTCCCACCCTGCTGTGGCACAGGGAGAGCTGTTCTGTGCCTGGAGGGCTCAGAAACTCTGCTCACAGCCATGCAGGGCTTTGCTCAGCTCAGAGTCTGTCACCYGAGGGACTCAGGGCTGTGTCCTGGGTTCCCAGCACCCAAATCAGCTGAGATCCCAAAACCCCACATATCCACCCCTTGGGGTCTGGGACTGCCCAGTCCTGCCTCAGTCCCCACAGCTCTGCAGCCCTCGATGCCAAAGCTGAGCTGAAGGACCTGCATCTCAAATCTGGAAACCATCCCACCTCCAGATCATCCCGCTTCCGACAGGATCCCATGGGAATGGCATCAGAGCAGGGCCAGCCCYGCAGAGCCTGGGGCCACATGACCAAAATAACCCAGCTCCAGGGCAGCCCAGGGAACAGAGACACCACTGACACTGACTCCTGCCCCACCAAAGCTGTCCTCCTGCCTCATTTGTTCTGACATCAGATCACCTGGGCCAGGAAATCCCTGTCTCC